CGATTTCGGCCAGTTGACCTTGAGTGATCCTAAAATGGGTCAAGATAGAGGTAATCGGCTACGCTGAGTCGAGTGGTGATGTTTATTTTTAGTTTCAAACCAACCTAAAGTCACTATATCAAGATTTTCAAATTAAAGCATTCTATCGCTATATTGCGTATAGAGTGGATATTTCGAAAATCTTGATATAGTGACTTTAGGTCGGTTTGAAACTAAAAATAAACATCACCACTCGACTCAGCGTAGCCGATTACCCCTATCTTGACCCATTTTAGGATCACTCAAGGTCAACTGGCCGAAATCGGGGCTCTCGGGAAAATGCTTATAGCTCCCGAATCGTAAGAGACAGAGAGTTAAGACTGGTCTAAACTTGTAGATCTCGGTTCGGGCTATCGATTGCACTGCTTGAAAATCAAAATCCATCATATGGTTCAGGAACGGCGGTCTCGCAGACTTTGTATCGAAAGGCTGACCATGGTAAACCTTACTTGGAAGCCTAGTTTTACATAAGCTTACGTCCCTCGATGTTCTCCATCCAATGGTGAAAACCGCATGTCTCTAGCTCTTTCCCTTCAAAAGTTATAAGCAATCTACCCAGCCGTCTTTCTTTTTTAAGACGATAATAGTGTCGACGCTTCTTAAGTCTTTCCTTTCGTGATCCAATCGGCACATATGTAATCTTTCTCCTCATGAATTTCTGTGTTTTTATTCGTTTATTGCGGAAAAGAATACGGCTGGATTTATCTCTAAATACCGTAGGTTAATTTACTTTTTTTATAAATTTCAATGTTTCAAAGTAAAAATCATAGTTTATTTTCTATTTACTTTTCACTCAATAATAAGCATAATTTTTCTTTGTTTTGTGCTTTATGAAACGTTTTATATTACTTTGTAATAATTCGTAATTAAAACTGAATTCAATTGACAGAAAATAAATTATTTCAAATATTAGATTAGATTTATAAATCAAAATGATGTATTCAATGTATCAAAGTTGAATCAAGTCAGTTTGAATGTATCTTCTCATCAATTAAACAAAGTTGCCCATCATTTTTAATAAGTTTGTGTATGCTAAAGGATTCTGGATGAAAATGGCGATATTCTATTTTCCATTGAGGTATAACCTTCAAGCTCAAAGATTCTACTGAGAAACTGCTATTATCATGAAACATTTTTACAGATAAAAACTAAATGAGTCTCAAATTAAAATTACATCATCTTCGTTATTAGTACGATATTTGTAGAATATAATTAAACAGTAAAGAACTGAATTACAGTATGAAAAACAACAACGGGTAATTTTATCTATTAGTTGGTAATTGGACAAGTTAAACGATAGAAAATATTAAAATATCGAAATATACATTTTAGGGATAAACGACAGATTATTAAATGTAATTGAAATATTACTTCCCCAAATCTATTAGGTGGTGAAAACAACGTCACCATCAGACAAACACATTTACTATGTTATTGTCATTTTTTACCGTGCTCATTAGCAAAAAGCTTATTTTAATATCATTAGTAAATGTTCGCCACCCAAAACAGACAAAAACATAGAATAGTCGAAGATTTTTAATACAGTTTAATAATTTAAACGCGAACACCATACACTTTCATTTAGTTTTTAAAATCAATACAAATCTCACCGCCATTCTTCTGTCTAAGACTAAGAAATCATCTACAAAAAAGTTCTCGATTGTTCTCAAATTATTGTATGTTTCAATTACCGAGTGTGATTAATTTTAGAGGCGATATTGATTGTTGAAAAACGTCCCACTCTATCTCTACGAAAAAAAAAGCGGAATAGAATTCTAGGAGTGGCACATACAATTGCATCTTCATCAAACAGCGAAAATAAAATATTATAATGAGATTGAAAAGATCAGTTCACTGTCAAGCGCGTGATACAGTAATGAATGACGCATATATTTTTATTGAGTTTGATCCAATGACCCATATGTATCATAATATATAGAAATACTGAACTATAATAAACTTCCTTTCTCTTCCAAGAAAATAAGGACATTGTTAATCTTAAATAAATATCTTGAAAAGGAAAAGGAAGAACTCTTACAGATAAAATGTACTAATATTAAGTAATTCTTAACAAAACTACTATCACTTTAATCTCTCTTTTTGTTTCAGACACACTAGGTGGATACTTTGAATGTGTGCTATACAGTATGATAAATTTGCTATATTTCTGATACCGTAGATAGACGTGAACAGACATAGAATTCTTTTTTCTTTTTTTTTTACATTGTCGTTGAAAAGTCTTCTAAACTATACATAATCAAAATATTAGTTAGATTCATAGAAAACAATCAAACAATTTGGTAAGTAAATGGATTCAAGCATGATTAGTTAATTTGTTTTTATTTTGATCAGCTACTATTCTGATATATGTAAAATAAAAAATTATTGACACTTGAACAGATAAACAGCTTAGTTTAATTTTACCCATCTATGTTAGAGGTTACGTGTACACCTTTAATGTTATTTTTAGCACTTATTTAGAGCAGATATAAAAAAAAAATTGAATACATAGGAACCAACACCAATGATCATGCTATTTGTTCGTATTATCAACATACGTATCATCATACACATAGAATAGAATGCTTATGCCTCCTAATTAATGTGATTTGTCCTATAAAAGATATAAAATACTAAACTAGTTGTATCACATTTTAGTGATAATGTGTGAAGTTCCTTGTTAAACCTAAAATAACAATATCCTAATTACTTCACACAGGTGGTATGTTTTTAATTCTACTTTTTTTGTTTTCACCAATAAATGTGTTTGAACATGAAATACTACTACAAAACATTTAGCTGAAGGTAAATTGGTTTTGTAATTGTATAAACAAAATCGTACACCTTAGTTTCTTCGGGCGTTTTCTCTTCTTTTTCTGTCAATTATTTGGCCATAAAATATATGATAAGAAATGTTTGATAATAAGTTGATCTTGGACAAACGATACGATGCATTAAAAAGAATCTAGTATTTTAAACTAGCCCTTATGTAGAAGTAGACATCGTCTGATATGAGATGACTATGACCATGTCTACACTACATGACTTAGACAAACTGTCCTAGTGTTTGATTGGCATGTTCAGTCAAACACTAAGCAGTTCATCGAAGTAGTGTAGTACAAACATGAACGAAAACATTGATTTTCATGCTAGAATCAATCGATGAAATACCTTTGATTATTAATATCTGTCCAATACAGTTTAAACTAACCATAGGAAAGACCTTGTTTGATAACAAGAAAATTATTATTATTCTACAGAGAAATTATGTATCAGATCAGTCATTTTTCGTTTTTTTTTCAGATACATGTCTTCTGAGAATATTCATACAATTACATCACATGATACAAATAAATTAACTCTATTTAATAAACAAAATGTATCATTTACATCATTTTCTGTTCACTCTAATAAACATAAAAAAATTCGGACACATTCTATTAATTTTGAATTAGAATCAACGATAAAAAATCGACCTAATCATCAACGATATCAACATCATGGATTTTCAACATTCCCATGGCATAGAAAACAACAACATAAATCAAATGATTCATTAGAAAATACCGAACAGCATTCATTATCCAAAACTATTACTCAAAAAGAACAGTCAACATCTGAACTTTCAAAATCAATTTCAAAACAGACTGCTACATTTGCATCGGTATTTGATCTAACTGAATGTAATCAGGTATCTAAGAGTATAATAGATGATAATAACAGCACTGAACCTACTACACAGACAGCGTCGACGTTTAACATCAACAATGATAAACATCATGATCATACTAAGTCTTCAGAAGTAAGTAAAATAGTATCACTATACAATCGATTTATTTTTGATTTTTTTCTCGTCTATAATCGCTAAAACAAAGCTGAAAAAAGATTTAAATAGCTGAAAGAATTTCGAACTTAGTATGGTGCATACAAAAGTTTCTGAAATCAGGATCTCTGCAAAACCCAAATCGTAGAAAATTGACTCCCATGAGTCGATTGGAAATGTTTTGTAAAGAACAAAGTCAAATAGGGCAGACATTTGTCGACAAAATGAGATGCCTACGACACGTTTGTCATCAGTCTGCATTCAGTTTATGAAAGGTTTCAGCTTGAAAAAATTAGCCGAAAAACAGCGAAAAATATCTCTAAGGCCTTCGAAATTCTTTCAGCTATTTAAATCTTTTTTCAGTTTTGTCTTAGCGATTATAGACGAGAAAAAAATCAAAAATAAATCGTTTCTATAATTTTACACAAAACTGTACTTAAAAACTCATTTAAAAAGCACTAACAGCATGTTCTCAATTTAGATATTAGAACCACAAGTTCAATCAACCGATGCTTGTGATGATGAGCAATCGAACACTGCGCATAATAGCCTTACAAACGAAGATTCACAAGTGAAAACAGTTGTACAATTTCCAGATATTACCATTGAGCATCTAACTATGAAAGATGAAGATAATGAAACAAACACAATCGGTACCATTGGTCTTTCAACTCGATTTTCTTCTATTGAAAAAATGACGGACAAAAATGAACAGGTAATTGAAGGATGTTCCATACAAATGTTGAGTATACCTAATCGCTAGCATTATCTAGTCGTAAAACGTTTCATTTTTATGATGACATTCGATAGAGAACAAATCGAAGTGATATTTGAGTCCAATTTAGTATTTTTGGACTTGTTTTTAATTGAATTGCAAAATTGTTACGGAAATTAAAATTTTAGTTCAAAACAGCTGTCACGCAACCAAAATTCATCTCTCTATAAAAAAGCTCTCTTGTCATTTCGTCGAGTAAGCAATTTTCTACAAAATGAACTATCCTAAATTAAAAACCCAAATAGTCATGTCCAAAAAGGAGTTACAATTTGTATCACTGGAATTAGTACGAATTAGGATTTCGTTGAAAGGATCATTTTATGAAATAAGAAACTCCTATTGAGTAGAAAATAACTCGATGTGATTCAAAAACATGGCTTTTGCTGATATCCGACGCATTCGACTTAATATTTGAGAATTTTTGTTTTGTTGAATATTAGTTCGTTTTTTGCCGATGATAGTCTTTTTTCTGTTGTTCATATGATAAATATTCCTGACGTTCTATTCTTCTGCGAAATTTATTCGTTTTTTTCTTATTGAATAGTATTATGATATCAAGGTTGAGAATAACCTCGATGAAAGTTATTCAAATGCGACAAATTATCCATTTCGATCTGCAATTTTATCACCATCTGTAGAAGAAAATCTTACAATCGCTCATCCAATAGAAAAAAAGAAAAAATTAAATTTAATTAAACAAGTATATCATTCAATTCATCCATTACCACGACGTTTACATCATCCCGCATCGTCATCAACAATACTTACACCATCAATCTCCCGTCCAGTTGTTGTCTCATTTCAAGACGAAAATCCTACTAATCATAAAAAAGGTCCATCCTGGTTAAAAAGAAGTAAAATGGGTCGATTTATCCATACTCTTCAGCATACATTTGTTAAAAATAATGACAACAACAAAGTAAAGAAGAAATCCAAAGTGAAATGTTCAAACATTTATGTAACTAAACAAATCTCAATTTATTAATAAAATTTACTTACTTCTGTTTTAATAAGTGCTAATACACAATTCATTCCAGCCATTCGAATATCCATATTTGTATTTTTTTCTTTTAATATTGATGTTACACATATCCATAGACTGCCTAATGTTATCTAAAATAAAAAATAAATAACTTCATATTTCAATCATCTAAATACACACTGTATACATACTAGATCATTTCTTGACTTTTCAATACAATCTATTGCATCCTTCAGTGCTTTCAGACTTAGTTCAGAATTATTTTGGATATCGCCAATATACTATGAAACATTAAAACGTATATATAAAATGTATATTTTCTTCATTTTGTTTTTTAGACATACCTGTAATGGATTATACACCTTCTCATAAGTGTCTAATGGAGAAGATGCCATCTTATTGTAAAGATTTTCTAATCTTAAAGATAACAATAAATACAATCAATTACTAAAAATTCTATATTGTCATATCGAGCGAAACAAAAATATGATCCAGTATTATAAAGTATATTTTTTAAATTTTTAGTCTCTAAACTAAATCGTCCATTCTTCCATGCATTGGATAATAGAGAAAAAGATAACACATTAGATTGAGGTTAAGCTTTTTTTCCCACGATGCATAATACAGTGATACTTGATTCCTTATTATTCAACAGATATGTCTGATCTATAGTCAAGTCGTCAAAAGTGGGTCAATTTTCGGATATTGTTCATGCTTCATCAGGAAAATGAGTATCCTCATAAACGATTAGAAACTTGGAAGATGTGTCATTTTAAAGAGTTACTTCTACTCTCCAATTCTTCCTACTCACAAATTGTTTCGAGTGAAACGATAAATGTATCTGAATCTGTCAAAGAAACTCAGCCAATTTGAAAACAACATTTTTTTGTTGCTGAACAAATTGAATAAAAAAAAACTCAAAACTTTTCTTATGACAATTTAAAATAAAATCTATCATATTCAGTTTGTGATTCAAATTTATCTCGAAGCAGATTATGAAGAGTACATTTTCAGTTCCAAAATAAGATACGTCTCAAATTTTCATCATGTTTTCTTCAAATATTATAACACAAATCATAACAGCAAAAGCGGTAAAGTCCTCACATTCTGATAGCAGAGTTATGTGAAATGGCTCTACAGAAGAATTAAGAACATTTTCTAGAGACTGTGTATGTTCACAACTTGTCGAGTATACAACTAGGAGAAGCTCAATAAAAAAAACAGTTTATTTTGCTTGTCCTATGAACATTTTTTCAATCATATCACATCAATAATTATCTCATTTTTAACATGTAAATAAATTATTAGGTTTAAACTGACATTTTTCACTTTTTCGTTATTTAATAACTCTAATAAAAATGGGAGATATTTTTGTTATTTGATCAAAAATTAACAACGCTGATGGAAAATTATAATCATGTCACGCTTCGTTAATTGCTTTCGCCAATTTAAGAGTCACTAGTTTGAGAATTACATTAAAATAGAGAGATTTAGATAATGATTTATTCATAAAAATAAAATATTTCTACATCTATTTGGCTCTATACGTTGCTGAAATTAAATCGAATCTTTAATTATTAATTGTATATTACATTAAGGAATTTTGTTGCAATGTTATCTGAAGAAAAATCAACTAAACAAAAAATACGAGCACGTTCAAAACGAAAAATATGAAAAAAGTTGCCTATTAAACAGAAAAACAGTTAGAAATGATAATTTTTGTCTTGACTGAGTTTAAATGTATCACATGCACAACAGTCATATTATCTTCAAAAGAGAATGTTTTGTTTATCCATTTTCAGGTGAGGATGAATTGCTACGATACATAATCAGACTAATGCAGACATTTTTTTTTAAGAAGCAAGTCAGTATAATTTTTTCGGTAACAGAAAATCTTTCGTTACTCACGAGCATTTCTGAGATACTAATAAAATCTGCATTAATGTTGACTCTTAATCTATTATACTTTTTGTTAATCCAGATGAAATGAATTCTACGTAGCTTCTTATGCTACGAGTAAAACAAAAGAAACGTCTTATTAACAAATGCAACGGACATCTAGTCAATACCATATGATCTTTCATAAGAGTTTCCAAGACACTAAGATCAATCATCAGGGCCAAACTAGTAGTACAGATTAGCGAACAAACAAAGCGTTATATTATGAGTTCTAAACCCCAAAGAAGTTGAAAAGACACCCTTGACAGTCTCCATCGTTATGCCACATCTAGAGTGTCTCTAAACGGCCCCATGATCTACGTTCAATAATGTAAATCAAAAAAAGGAACTCTTGCTTGTTTGATGCTGCGCTTTTATAATGTCTCTTTTCATTACAAAATTTGTTCTTCATGATCGGAGCCCATTGCTAGATAAAGAGAGTATCTCAAAAGGAATGAGGATAATATGTCAGAAATACTTTCACTCGACTCGAGCTCATCTCGCTCTTTCTGATAATCCATACTTTTTCTAGCTTGTGTTTTTTGATTTTTTCTATAATTATTTATTCTTGTAGTAGTACCCTTCTACGATTGGCAAATAGAAACGGCAATAGAAGAGTGCAAAGGAATTTAACGTGAAGAATTATCGTAGAGGATATGAGTCAAGATCCTATTGGTTATAACACAGCTGTTCCTTTGTTTGAAAATAAACATCTGAAAACTTGATTACTTTTTTATTGTCGTTTTTGTAGTGAGTTTCATTTGTCTAAAGCTTGCTTCGACAAGGCCAAGATAAGCCGGTACGTTCTATATGCGAACGTTGATGATATCGGTGTCATTTTTACTTTAGTTTATCTTGACCTTTCGACTAAGTGTCAAAAAAAGCTCGTGTGAATTTACATAGAAAGTGTCTCCATATCATGATCTATGACATTTAGCCGGAAACAACTGTCATCTGGCAATAAAAGCTGCCAATATTATGTAATTTCAACACAATTTAGCGTAAGACTTCAGCCCACAGTCTTGTAATAGTTAATCGTTTCATCAATGAAGATCTCTTCTCGATATTAATTTCTGACAAAGAAAAAATATGTTATATAATTAAAAACAACTGAATCCATAATACTATGTAGTTTAAAAATAATCCTGTCCGTTCTCACGAGGGAGCCTCCCAAGGTGATAAATCGCTTTTTGATTGACATCTAGTGGGTTATAGGTTATCAGCCATGCCGATTCCGAATATGATCATGGGGCTTCCCCATAGTCCTTCGAAGATCCAGTCTTCTAGAAACCAGTTTTTCAGAAACTTCAAAAAATAACCGAAGCCTTTCTTAACAATGCAGGATTGTAGCGCGCAAATTTTTGATTAAAATGCAACATCCCTCACCTCTACACGACCTTTTTTTGCAAAGTTATAGAATTTATAAGAAGAGTCCTAAAGTAATTATTTCTGTAGTTTTGAGCTGACAATGAACAATTCAGGGCATTTTATAAGTTCTATAACTTTGCAAAAAAAGGTCGTATAGATGTGGGGGATGTTGCATTTTAATCAAAAATTTGCGCGCTACAATCCTGCATTGTCAAGAA